TCTTGCAATTTTGAGGCTTATTTAACTGTGTGAACAATTCGTTTTGAAATTAAACTTCTCTTAACAAGATGACTACATGAATATAACATGCCGGCAGTTGAGACAAGTTGAAGTTGAAAAGAACACTCAAAGAACTTCTTCTAACACATTTAGCATAAAACTGAATGACTCTCTGATGGTTACTTAACTTTCTTATTTCCTACGACTTTTAAGGCATTCTCCCTAACATTTGTCTTTATTTAGAAGCATCTAACGATAAAAGCATGTTTTGAATTAGATTTGAAATTTCTATTTGTTTAGCTTTCGCTCATAATTACGAATAATAATTCAATGGTAACGATGAAGGACGAGCAATAATTATAGGTAAAAGAGACAAAATTACAATAAGTATTGCTAATCATGGTACAGATGGCAGAGAAGGACAACTCTCTGTATAACAATTATTTATAAAAGTTCTTAATAAAACGTGAACTATTCTTGGTACAGCTTTTGTGAAACTGCATGATTTCAAACATTCAAAAATAAAACAAACTATTGGGATCCGTCAAACATGGCGCCGATTAGGGAAAATTTATCTACAAATCCGGAAGCTATCGTTCAAATTCCGTCAAGTTTACTGCCTACTTTTTACAAACTTCGGATTTACAAAGTGATTCACGTTATACAATTGGTGAGGTGATTCTGGGTGATTTAAGCAATATTATATCAATGACTTGCATGTGCAATGAACGCAAGATTCGAATTTTTTTTTCTTGTTGACAGACCTTTAACTTCAAAGAAATTCAATGGTGTCAAATCACACGGTTTGAGGGGCAATTCTTATCACCGAAACGAGAGAGTACACAACCAGGAAATACCTCATACAGTAATTGAATTGTTTAAGGGGTGTATAGGGATATGGCACCGTCTTGTTGAATCCACATGTCGTCCACATTAATATTACTCAATTCAGGTGGAAACAACTGTGTTATCATGTCGCAATATTGAGCACCACTACTGTTATTCAGCTTAATTTTCGAAAAAGTATGACCCAATAATGCCTCCAATCCAAAATCCGCACCCCAAATACGGCAATTTTGAAGATTAACAAAGCCATGAACATTGAATTTATGTCATACATGGCTAACATATTAGTAGCAGCAATAAAAATTTTGCTCAATAAAAAAGGTGTTGCATGATCTTTTTGTAGTAACTTACTAGTAAATCTAAATTGTAATATAACAGTATTTTTTTGTTCTCGTACGGGTAGTTCTCTAAATAAATCACCTATCGACAAAACTAGAAAACGCTTCTAATTTCAATGTTGTTCCAAACCCTTTTCGCATTGTCCTTACCTTTTTTGCTCCAATTATAGTACCTATTTTCATTAAATGCGAACAAAATTCAACGCTGTTTGGTCTGTACCATTTTGGTTTGAACTTTTTTTTACGTAAAAGCATTTTAACGTTTCTGAGGTTTTTAATTTCAGGCTTCGATGGTCTTAATTGAGTTTTTTGTGTATTTTTGGTTTTTCCTTTTTCATTCGTCATTTCGAATGACGTGAACCTGTCGCCTATAATTGCCGAGCGTTCGCGAACGGCCATGATAGGAACAAAATATACCGACGGGGAAATTGAGTTTTCAAAGGAAAACAATAATATACAGGCATACGTACCTGCATATTAATTGTGCTGGTATTTTTGATCGCACTTAAAAATGAATTAAAACTGCTATGCATATTCATATTGTATATGTTATCGGAAATGTATGAATTTAGGAATTGTATACAATTCCTAGGTCATTTAGGAAATGCATAAAATATTGTTCCAGAAATTTTTTAATACACACACATATCCTGGGAAATGTATACATTTCCTAGGAATTGTATGAAATTCCGAGTTTTGTATTAGGAAATGTATAAAACTAATTCATTCTGTGAATAGAATTAATAAAACACGTTAGTAAACTGAGAATCAGAGTTATCTGTGAATACAATAAATGAAACATTGGATGACGCAATATCCTTCCGATTGCTATTTAGGAAATGTATAAATTTCCTAGGACATGTGTCTAATATAATTTATTTTACACATTTCCGGGCGATTTTAGGAATTATATACATTTCCTAGGAATTGTATGCAATGACGTATTACACACATTTCCGTTAACACACATTCCTGAAGCAAATCAACCTTTAAATCATTACGATAATACTGTACTGGTTATTAGCAACTTTGGCTTTGACCAAAATAGAATGAAAATAACTACAGTTTAAGTTTCATAAAAGCCATTTATCGATAAATCGATTGTGTTTCTGCGGATGTACAAACTAGATTTTAACGTCAGTTTTATAAAAATGTTCCACAATGCATTACTTCCTACAGACTATGTAGATGACGAACAATGAACGCAATCTCCGAATAATTTGATAGTAGAATCCAGAGATGTGATTTACTTGAATTACTTGCATTTAAAATACAAATACGAAATAAAAAATACCTATTTGTACCTTGCCTTTAAATACTTTTTTGAGGAAAGCAATTAGCATTTTATTTAAAATACTTATCCAAACGTAGTTTTTATTCGTAAAATGCATTTTTGCCTTCAAAAGTTTTACTAATATCACCGATCAAACATTATATAAAATAGAAAATACTACAAATGGCGCGGTAAACGCCATCTGTGTACGATGCTACATTTTACGAATACGTATGCTCCAACAAGGTCCATTTAAATAAATGGATATCTACTTGCTGAAACGAATTATTTTATTCGATTATGGTAACGTACCTATCACGTTGAGGTTAGCTACGCCGGCATTCGTTTCAGCAAGTAGATATCCATATATTTAATGGACCTTGTTGGAGCATACGTAATCCTAAAATGTAGCATCGTACTACAGATGGCGTTTACCGCGCCATTTGTGGTATTTTCTAAAACACACTGTTAAGGCAGCAGGTAAAAGTTGGTCTGTGATCTGTCGAAACTGTCTACGATGCGCTGATGAGATCCAAAAAGATCGAAATCGCGATCCGCGTCTGGCAGTTTCGACAGAACACAGACCACTTCGAATTATTTTATTCTATTATATAAAATGATGAATTAAAGTTGCTCACATTGACCACTGAAGGTATTAGAAACTTAAAAAGGGGACAAAGAGACATTCCATGAATGAGCCCAAAATATTCTAAACTTCTTGGAAATGGATAATCTAAAATATAGGATCGATATTGTTTTCCTGGTTCATTTCATGATCCGTGGAATTTTGAAGTTCCAAATTTAAATCGGCACCTGCCAATCTCGTACCTTTAGCAAGGAACTACGAAATTCTATGAATTACGACAAAGCAGCCCTCAGAACAATATCGAATTGATATTGTGGTGTGCTAATAAATGCCTATAATCCAAAATTCTTAGAAAACGATTCGAAAAACTTCACTAACTAGATGAACCCAAAGCTAAAGAAACTATGGATTCCATTTCTTTATCTTATTACAATTTGTGAAAGATCAGAAAAAAAAGGGGTTGTAAATATTTTGATATAAAATTGTTGATGTTCTTTTTATATCAATTAAATTATTTAGAACCCTATTTTGACTCTGATCTTTCACGCCAAACAAATTATTTTGGCATCAGTGTATTTTTTCCAATTAAAACGGGTGATAAAGGCAAATAAGGAAGCATATAGAAGAATTATTTGTTGCTGAATTGAACGAAATATACCATAAAGATAAAATAACTATATCTCAATCACTTTAAACAGAAAAATATGAAATATACTCAATCTTCGCAGCTGGTGATATAATGGAAACACCACTATTAGTTTAGAAAAACTCCAATATTTAAAAAATGAGAAAATGCCTGCAAGGTTTTCTTAAAAAATATTTTATACTTAAGTAAATGTAGAAAATTAAATAGGTACTACAAAAAGGTATTTATTTGAAAAGACTATTTTGAAAATACGTATTTTGCATTTAGCATTTTAAAATACAAAAGGGAAATCTATTTTGTATTTTACATTTGAAATAACAAATCAAGAAGTATTTGCATTTTCTCTTTAAATACTTTTAAAAAACCATTTTGCATATCTCTGATAGAATCATTCATTTTATGCACCTTGAAAAGGCTTTATATCTTTTAAAGGGTGAAATGTCGGTTTTTTGATAAATGAATTGTTTTTGTCCCTCTTCTTGGTTTAGATTCTTCATTGATCCTTATCAATATCTAAATATTTAAATAACTACAATTCCCTTTTATCAGATCAACGTATTTCAAGTAGATATATATAGCTAACATGAGCCTTTATATTCGTGTCGTTAAAGTCTTAAGCTGTTTGCTTTAAGAACAACGTTTTACGTCATTGCTGCACGACACTGCTTAATTTACAACGTTAACAATTATCTGATAGGGGCCGGACCATACAGTATGTTCTTTGATAACAGTGAGTAACGGCTGCAATAACAACAGGCAAACCCGCAATTAAGTCAAGCGTTAATGATAACCCTGTAAGAATTTGATTCAAATCGCCACCGTTTTGAATAAAAAAAAGAACGTGAAAACATTGAGTAAGTAGTTAAAGTAAAATGGGTTTGACAAAATATAAATGGTTTTTCAAATAGTACTAACAATTAAATTTAATTGGTTTTAAACATTAACGTGTTTGATTCTATCGCGCTATGAAAAATTTAAGCACATGTTTATATAATGATTTATATTAATCACACTTTGACAAAATGACAGCGGATATTCGAGGCTAACGTTTTTAGGATGAAATATGACAGATGTCAAATTTGTTAGGTTAAGTAATGTAATTTTTTGTTATTTTGACATTTTAATGTAGTGGATTGAAAATATATTTATTTTTTCGCAATTATTTTTTGTGTTTAATACAAAACCATGAGATAAATTCGAGAAACTACATCACACAGTAGATATTCTTCAACGATTTAAAAAGAATTGCATCCACTCTATTATAAAATGTCAAAATCAAAAAAAGGCAGACGTGCAACAACATGCGATTACCTTTTGTAATAATTGAGGCCGATTGTCATTGACTTTGTCGTCGATTGTTAGGACTTTGTTGTCGTTTTCTGAACCGTCTTCCGGCGGGGTAGTTTCGGTGGAAGAGTTTCCGTTGTCCTGAAGTATCCGGACTCCTCCGATCCTTTTTCTAAGGTTCTCTAGTGCGAGAGCTTCTTCCCGTTTNTTGTGACTGACTACCAACTACACTACTTTATAAGGTAATACCTCCAAATCAATCTGTTTTTTTTGCGTGTGTAAGGCTTATACAGGGTATTCCACGAGGAGGACATTCATATTTATAATTTTCTTGACCCTTTGATAATGTCATCATGGAGGGGCACCCTGTACAATGTTAATATAATTTATACCATTCGGCAAATATGAAGTGTTTTTGTTATACTTTTAATGAGTAATTTGTATACTGGTTTTTATTTTACGGTCCCATACCTACATCTTTTAATTATTATTTGCTTTTTATGCATAATTAAATTATTTTTTCTTGTTTTGTTACGTTTTTAAAAGCAAAAGTTCAAGCCTTACAATTAAAAAATGCGACATGGTGACCACAGCAGTAAACAATATGATACTAAAAGTGAAGAAATGATGATTCATTTACTCATTCATTTATGAAGAATGTGTGCACTGAGTTGGGTAGTTCCTTTGAATTATTATAAAACGTCATTATATTATTTGTTAAAAGTTGTGTTCAAGTGCGATGTGAATTTTTTATTTTGTTTGAAAGTATTATTTTAAATTTTTAAAATCTCCTTTTGACTTTTAAATGACTGCTTAATTATAATCACATATTATATAAAAAGTACTGCTATATAATGTATACAATAGATCACATACGTTTGAATGTTGTAGTGTTTACAGATTGCCATACAGGGTGGTTATAAGTAAACTAAGTTTCTGAATTTACACTGAAAATTTCTGATTATATTTTTAAACTTTAATAGGATCAATATTGAACGTTTTCTTTCTTTGTACAATAATGTTTAGCTATTTTGATAGAAAAAGTTTAAACTGTTCCTGAACTGATATTAACAAAATATTAATATTTTTTATTCTCAACTGGACGGTCACGTACTGAGTGCCACTTTTTCTCTCACTCTCTAAAAACCAAATGTCTTCAATAGGTATTTTCAAAAATTTTGCTATTTTGATAATATGTACAATGTACATATTTTATATTTATTGCGAGGGCACGTTTATCACCTTATTGTTCTTATTAATTTATTAATTATCATCCTTAATGAATTTTCAAGAAAAAAAGCGATTTTTAACTTAATTATTAAAAAAGGAAACCTAAAAATTTCAAAAATACACTATACAGCCTTTCCTTTTTAAATTAATTAGAAGAGTAATTTTGGAAACAATACTTAGTCTGAAAATGTAACAGATTTATTTTTAAAACTGCATTTTATAAAAGAAAAAAAAACCTCGAACCACTTGAAATAGCATCGAAAGATTATATCTAACTGATTGTGAGAGGTGGCAATAAGAATAAGGAAGTAAGAAAGAAGAAAGTAAGTGAAAAAAGAACAGACCAACAAACAAATCTATTTTCATTCGTCTGTAAAGTTCAGGATCATCATTTGTTTTTCGAACGTTTATGATAACCTCTACACCTTGAGCACTAGGAAGAAAATAGGTACTTCCGGTAGGTGCATTTCCGGTTGGTTGACAATGTACGTATATGTATATACATATTTCATGTAAACGATGGCACGTCTCGTTATTTCGTTTACTTATTTATTATTATTTATTTATTACCTGCCGCTGTAATCCGAGCAAAAAATACTCGGCGGATTTATAGATGAATTGGACGCGATGCGTGGCAGGTCCATGCTGCCGCCGGTCAACGGAGCACAGCATCATCCCGATGACGCTCGGCGTCGCGAAAACCACGACAACCAGACTGACGCATAGCGCCGCGACGTGCAACGAACGGAGCGGACTTAGTGCCTAAATTCTGCGAGTCGTCGGTCGATAACGTTTGTGGAGATCGCGCGCCACGAAAGCAACGAAACACCCTCAACCCCATCACCTGCCTTGTCTCCCTCCTTCACCATCTTTTCTTCAGTTCACTCCCCCTTCTTTTATTATTTTTTTTTTTTTCAATTTCATCAAAAGGTTTTTGAACGACAAATGTACAGAGTGGTGTCACGTATAACTGAAGGTTATTCACTCCCGCCACCACCATCAAAGACTGATCGATAAGTTTTTGAGGGGTGGAGGGTTGATGAAATTTTCTTTGTTTTTCAAATTTGTATCGATATTACTGATTTTAATTCAAGAGAAGGTTTTTTGTGGGGATGGGGAATGATAAAAATTTGTTTGTTTCTCAAATTTGTATTGAAATGACTGTTTTCCACTTCAAGAGAAAGTTTTAGAAAGGAAAATGTACAGAGTGATTAATAACAAGAAGTAAAGTTTACTTACCCTTAAAAGGACCGATCGAGAATTTGTTGGGGACTGGAGGGTTGATGAAAAATTCTCTGTTTTTCAAACTTATACCGTTGGTATGGTTGTTGTCCACTTCAGTAGAAGTTTTTAGAAAGAAAAATGTCTAGAGTGACAAAATAAGCGAAAGTTAATATCTTCCCGCCATCAAGTTCCTATTGAGAACTTTTTTGAGGGTGGAACTACTAAGCCGCGCATATTCGACTGCGAAAGTCCCTGATGACTACAATCGCAGCATTAGTCATACCAAAAAACTTTAGAGCAATTACTGTTCGTTTCAAGAAGATGGAGATATGTCCCTTCCATTTATTAGGATGCGCCGTAGCATAATTCCAAATTCAATCATATTTGTCTGCGGAGCTCATTTCTTCGCCGATCATCGAGCGAGAGTTAGACAAAAGTGTACAGTACCATTTGCAAAATTATTTAAACTGCCTCGTTAAAATTTAAGAATATGCGTTATTTAAATGCATATTTAGACAAAAATAATAAGAAGTGAATTAACTTAACACTCTACACACCTATAAAACTTTTGCTTAGTTTTCTATTGTTAATTTATATACGTTTTTGTTTTAAGAAATTGCTAAACATTTTCGTCTAGTACTATACAGTTCTAGCCGATCTCCTAAGACCGTCCATCGAGAGCTCTGCTCGTTCAAACTTGTTCCAACTATTTCTGTCTTACTCACGCCTAGTGTGTATTCTTTCTATCTTCGCGCAGATTTCTTCAAGGTCACAATTCTAACAAATTGAAATGG